GGCAAAACGGTGGTAATTCATACATACACAGCCTCTCTCTCTCTCATAAATGAACAGTTGATGAATCACACTTTTCGGAGAATAGAATATTGAAGTGGAGATCGCTAAACTGCAAGCTAACCGGTGTTTTCAGAAAGCAAGCGTGTTTATCCACAGTGGAGAGAGAGCGCGCGTGCACAGGGTTGCCAGGTTGACAAAGATAAGTAACATATTTAGCAGATATTTCCGTATTGCGTAAGTGTAAAACTCTGTTTCGGGGATTACGTCTCTTCATATCAGGCAACCCCGGTTGTGTTCCTCTGCGGCCCGATTAATCCTTGTTGCAGCCTATATATTATGCGCTATTCATTATTTTTTAGAAACCTCGCAATTTTCTACTAAAGTTTAAACGTTGTAAAATTTTAAACAAATTAAGCGCGGTCCACTGCTGCACACGTGCCACAAATTCGATACTGGGCCAGCTGTATCGATACTCGTATCGTCAAATCTCTGTGACGATACATCGTCTTATCGATATTTTGAACACAGCACTATAATCTAGTGTCCTTCCCCTAAACTGAATACTGGACCTGCTGACCATGTGGGGAAATGTGATATTTCTCAGCATGATCCTCAATGAATGAGTGTATGCGTTTGTGTGACCTTGTGTAACCAGATCCTTGACTCGACAGAGGTAATGGAATGTTAGTCTGTGGCACTGTTGAGGAAGAGGGAGAAGATCTGCAGTATGGGGTTACTGCAAACACTCGGAATATAAAACTCAGTATCCGTCAGAGAGACAGAACGCAAACAAATGAGAAAAACACTTGCGTTCTTGGATGCCAAGAAATCCATCCCTTTGGCTACTTGGTAGGAGAAGCTAAGAAGATCCTCAGTATCCAGAGTCATGCCATCTTCATGCAGAATCTCACTAACGGCATCCGAATCGCTGTATGAATCACCTAAAGATTCAAGATTCAAGATTTTTTATTTGTCACATACATGGTTATATAGAGAATATATGACCAGCAGTGAAATGTAAGTCAGGTCCGCTCCATGGACAGTGCAGTTATTAAAGAATACAAACACAAGAAAATTATATATAAATATAGGTATGGAAAAAGTAAGATAAAAAAATAAGAATAAAAATAAAATGCACAGGACAGTATACTGTAGACTTAATAAATATTTAGATGAGCATGAATGTACAAGAGGAGAATGTGCAAACAGGTGCAAAACAGTGCAAAAAGGGATGACAAATTCATTTAAGAAGACGATAAAGACAAAATGAGACAAAAAGCCAACAGACAAGAAGAGACAACAAAAGAAAAGGGAAAGAGAATAAATGAGACAAGAAGACAACAGACAAGATGAGACAAGAGAAGGCATGAGAAGAGATGAGAAAAGATGGGATGCGGACAGGAAAGACAAGATAAGACAAATAGAGATGAGGTGAGACAGAAGAGACAAGAAGAGAAGGCATGACAAGAGATGAGAACAGGAAAGACAAGGGCAGACAAGACTAGAAAAGACAAAACGAGAAGAGGAGATGAAATGAGAAGAGTTGAGCCGAGATAACAGAACAGATGAGAAGAGACGAGAAGAAGATAACAGACAAGAAGAGAGAAAGGAAGGAGACAAGACAATATGAGACAAAAAGAGATACGACAAAGGTGGAAAAAAAACAGACAAGATGAGAAGATGAAGATAAGACACGAGAAGAGATGAGACAAGAACAGGAAAGACAAAATGAGACAAAAAGAAACAAGATGAGACAGAAAAGACATGTTGAGAAGATAAGAAAAGATAAGGCATGAGAAAAAATGAGACAAGGTGAGATGAGAAGAGATAAGACAAGAACAGGAAAAAATAAGGGCAGAGAAGAGAAGAGAAGAGAAGAGAAGAGAAGAGAAGAGAAGACAAAAAGACTGGGTGACACAAGAAGAGACAAGATGACAGGATAAGAGATGACAAGAGAACAGACAAGAAAAGAGACAAGACATTGATCCAACCTTTATTAAGTGATCTTCGGTTTTCTGAGGACAGAATTCCCATTACAGAGGGCTTCATGGTCACGTATCCATTCCTGCTCTCACTGTAATCAAATACAAACTTGTTTTGGTGAACCCACAAGCACTTCACACTATCACACTGCACCAGTTGCATTGATCATACTTACTTTTTTTCTGGCTGCAGCATGACGTTTCTATAGTAAGAGTCTTCTCCCAGTGTAGTGTAGTAGAAGGATTCTCTCCTTCTGCGCAGGAAGTTCAACAGGTCACCAAAACAGCAGTACTCCGTTATAACTAGAGTTGGACCTGTGCAATAGACCAGACCAGTAATGAAGAACAATACAATACACAGAAAGACCTAGAAAAACAATATTTAGCTTTAGCCTCTTACCTCCAATAGTGCAGGCCCCTAGCAGGTTGACAATGTTAATATGGTTGCCAAGATAACTAAGCACCTTCAGCTCTGACATCAGAGCCTCTTTCTCAGTGGCATGGGCACTTGCTGTGGGGCAAAACACCACAACAAATAAAAGCATAAAAAACTGAATGGTCTCCTAATGTTTAGTGTAGGTTCCCCTTTGGTTATTGCTTTGGAAAACAATTTTAAACACTACACGAATGTTTTGGTTTGATTCTCAGAATGTTCTGGGAACCAAAAATTGTGGGTTACTGAAAATGATTAACCTCCTTTCTTCTCATCACGCAGGTTTGTTTACTTTCTGGTGTGTCTTTACGCACCGCCTTATTTGCTTAAATAAACATGCTAGTTAAATGCCATGGTGTTACTATGCTACTCATATTTTACAAGATTATGAACATGTTTTCTGGTGCTTTTCACTCACGTTTGAGCATCTTCACAGCTACGGTCATCACAGTGTCTGCTTTGGACATCCCATATGCAGTGGCCTCCACCACCTTCCCAAATGCTCCAGATCCGAGAGTTTTTCCTGGGAATGCAGGGAAGCAAAACCGATTCAGAAAATTGACACAGCATCAATTTCACTTTTCCCTCATACAGTTGTTAACAGTCAGTCAATGCGCCTGGTAACTGATCCGAAACCAGCTTTTAGCTTGAACATCGACTTGCTTTTGAATCAAGGAGGTGTGGCTTGTGGGGAAGTGGGATATGCTAGATCCTGTTAGATCTTGTTTGTTGACGGATATGGCTGTTCCTTTATGGGGAAGATATGACTTTATGTCACAAGGCACCAGTTATTAAGTGTCACAAACCGTGTAACTGCCAATGAAAAGAAGCAAGCTTTGTAAAATTCAAAAGGCCTTTATGCTTTCTGGTGCATTAAACCTTGTAAACCTTTCCAAACCTAATGTTTAAACATAAGAAATGTGGAAAAATTATTTGGAATATGATTTATGAGTTCGACAAGTCAAAGCAGACAGATTCAGGAACTTAACTCACCAAAACGCAGTTTATCTCTGGGAAACTCCCACAGGTGGTCGTATGGAAGCTGGGTGGGGTCAATATACACATAGCTATTTCCATGGATACCTTCTATGACTTTCCACTGTATTTGGTATTTAGGTTTCTGTAGGAGACAGAAATAAACAATGAGCGAAGTTTCCAGACAAACAAAACAACCTTTTACATTAGATCCAGTTACTGCAAGTGTATGTGCTCTCATAGAAAAAAGTAAACAGAGTCCACTAATAACAGTGTCATGTAAACGGACATAAATTATTCAAACAACAATGTGAACAGTAATTTCATGTGTGTGCGTGTATGTATCACTGATCGCTCCCATGTGCAACAGTGCAAAACTGAGTGGTGAAACATCAGGTCTTATGACATGTTAAGTAAATAATTTCCTTGAGTGTGTATTGTTTCAAAGTTCCCCTGAAGTGTGGGAGGGATTCCAGGTGTGACAGGTCAATTGCGTTGAGTATCACGTTTAATATCAAATAACGTACTAGAATAACAATACATGTTACAATCTTTTATTGCTATAATAGGGTAAGGAGTTCAATTTTGTGTAATTAATGAATTAGCTCAGTGAGTCAGCATGCAATTTCTGTACTGGAAGACAAGCTATGAAATGAATGACACTTTACCTGCATGTACTTGTAGGACAGCACAATCAGGATGAGAACAAGGATAACAGCCGCAGCAACAAAACCGATGAGCAACGGCGTGAAAAGTTCATGAGGAACAGTGTTCTCTGAGAAGATTAAATTAACATACAGTTGCCATCAGAAACATGCAGAACATGACATACTGTATGTACTCAACAACAGCAAACAAGAAATGTGTTCCTTTTGATCTAGGGATACATTGATATTAAAATTCTGGCCTATATGATTATTTTTCATGTTATGGCCAATAAACAATATATTCCAGACACTATACTAAAAATAATTAAACTATATTAAAAACGCTGAAAACTGATATGGTGTCAATATATTGTGCATCCCTGTTTTTAAATCATAATGGATATAATTTACCATTAATTGTATTGTTTCAATTAATATTAATTACATTAATATAATATATTTGAATGCAATTTATATTGCATTCAAATATAAATTGAATGCAATATAAATAAATAGCTAAAAGAGATCCATTATGAGTTAAAAGTAGGGATGCACAATATATGAATTACTGATATTATTACATTTATATATATTTTTATTACAATTATTACAATACAGTTACATTAATAATATATTAAATTGCATATATATATATATATATATATATATATATATATATATATATATATATATAAAACAAGGGAGA